CGCATGCTCAGTGCCTGCGTGCCACCGCCCCCGCCCCCTCCCCTACCCCACCCCCCGGTGGCGAGTGGGGCTGAACGTGCGGATAGGTGTGTGTTTGCGAACCGGCTGCAGCCACCGCGGAGGCGGTTGATGGCAGCCGTTGGAGGGGCGGAGGGGCGGAGGGGCGGAGGGGCGGAGGGGCGGAGGGGCGGAGGGGCGGAGGGGCGGAGGGGCGGAGGGTGGGCCGGGAGGCTGAGCCCGGGCTTGCTTTGCCATCCCGGCCCCGCCGACTCACACTCGGAACTCGGGCGGTCGTCTGGACTGGACAACCCGGCTGCACTGGCGGGAATTGCCCAGAGAAGACGCTGGGGGCCCTCCGAGCCGGGAGGGGTGGTGGAGAGCAAGGCGGGCGCCCGAGATGGAGCTGGAAGGGGCGTGGAGACGATTAGCCCAGCGCCTCTTGGGGACAGCTGAGGACGCCAGCGGGGCAGAGGGCGGGGGGTAACCGCCCGGGGGTCGCTTAGTAGCAGGCATGTCACTGGGACAGGTAAGGTTGTCCTGGCTGTGGCTGGTGACAGCGGAGCTGGGGGACTGACCAGGGATTTCCTGGGAGCGTGTCGCTCACTTTCCCGGAGGAGCGCAGCCATCTGTCCCCCGCAGGACGCTGGGAAGGTCCTTTAACGAGTGTGCTGTCGGGCCCCACCCCACTCCTTGGAACGGGGGAGGAACGCCGTTCCCCAGACCTGAAGATGAAAGTCTACTGGGTCGGCTGCGGCACCGCCTGTCTCCCCCGGCGGAAGCTCCGTGCTTGGCCGCGGGGAGAACTGGGGCCGGGGCGCTCCCTCTTCGGAGCGCCCTTTCGACCGGGCATGCGCGAGACCACGGCTAGTTTTCGGTACTCTGCCCTAGGGGAGGAGGCTGGAGGAAACAGATTTCTCTGCACCTTAGTCCTGCCCCGACGCCTCTGTGATGGGGGTGAGGACTCTGGTCGCTCTCCCGAGGCCACAGTGACCGCATTCCTGCAGGAGAGCGAGCGGGGTTCAGCACTACAACATGCGAGAGGAAGACAGCTGCATCGAGGTTTCTTTCCCCTTTCAACTATTGCCCTTTCAATCCAGTGTTGAGAACTCAAGTCTTGTTCTTTTTTAAATCCGTGACCCATTCTCACAGTCAGATCAGCTTCTGTTTGTATGACTAATGTTATAAGCACACAACTCAGGAAGGGGCCTGCAATTTGTTAAGCAAAGAGCAGATTTTATGTGATTTTTCTAAAACAAAAATAAAACGATAATTTAAAAGAATATAGGAAAATACAATTTGACTACTGAAGTAAAAAAAAATTGGGCTTTTCTGATGCACAAGACAATCAGGTACCTCACTCTTCTCTAATTACAAGGATGCTCTTCCTGTTTGCCTCAAAATATCCTACACATTGAATTAGCATCCTAGGGCTGTTGTACCTACCACAAACTAAGTGGCATAGAACATCAGAAATTATTGTATCACAATTCTGGAAGCCAGATGTCAGAAATCAACACTGAAAACACTGAGGAAGACTCTTCCAGGCCTCTCCTAGCTTCTGGTAGTTCCTTGGCTTGTGGCAGCATGACACCGGTCTTCACATGGTTGTTCTCCCTGTGTGCTTGTGTGTTCTAATCCCCGCTGCCTTTTTATAAGGACAGTCATATCAGATTTAGGGACCAACCCTACTTCCGTGTGACCTCATTATATCTGCAATGATCCTATTTCCAAATAAGGTCACATCTGAGGTACTGGGGGTTAGAACTTCATCATATAAATTGGAAAGGGAGGCACAATTCACCCATGACAACAATTCAAGCTCCATACCAGTCCATAAATTTCCACATTCATTTTCTTATATCTCCTGAAGACCAACTGGACCTTGATATTGCTGCTTATTATAGTTTACCCCTCTTTCTCTTTCCTTAACCTTCATTACTGTTTTCCAGATTTTCAAGTTCACTTGCTTTACTTTTCCTGCTACTTCCTTTTCTAATTATATATTACAGTAATTTCATAGAACATCTATCTTTCACTTGGTTGTATAAACTGAAATCAGCGAAAGCAGCTGAAGTGGCTTTGTCACCTCCCACTTGACACTAGTTTAAGTGTCTTTTTTATTCTGCTTGAATTGACAAGCCATCCCCTGAGCATTCCTGCCAATTAAAACCACAGGGATTTTTAGACATAGTATATACACTGAGTTCCAATGCATTGGTGTGTAGCCACAGTGAGAACCAATGCTGACTGCTACATGCAGAAGTGGAAATTTATGGACTGGTATAACGCCTACTTCTTGCGCACAACACTACCTCCCCTGCCATCCCCTTTCTTGTCCTATTATAGAAATGTAACTTTTTTCATGTCTTTACTTTCTTCCTTTATTCAAAAGTTGATGTATGAGGTATTCCCTAGTCATCTAAAATGTCAACACCCCTTTTCACTTCATATCCCCAGTTCCATACTTTATTTTTTCTTTAGCGCTAAGATAATATTTTGCTTTTTGGCTGTCATTCACATTTAAATGTAAATTCCCAAGGGAAGGAATTTTTGTCCATTTCATTTGCCATTATATGCTCAAGACCTAAATAATGATAGCATATAGCAAGTGCTTAATAAAAATCTGTTGTATCAATGAAAGTATTTTCAGAGATTTTTAACCTGAAAGACAGCAAGAATGATAATATTCTTTGTAAGCTCTAATGTCTCACCAAGTAAAGTTAGTTATTCAATAAATATTTATAATGATAACTGTGTTGTATCTGTCTTAAACTATGAGTACTCTGCTGGGTAAAGTCTTTAAACTAATATATTCACTTATTCAGTTCATAGAGATCTACTAAGTACCTACTATGTAGCAGGCACTATGATATGCACTAGGAATGTTTTAAAAATCAAACTACTGCCCCTACCCTCAAAAAACTGACATTGAAAAGTTGTTTTGATAATACTTCTGCTCACTGATCACAGAAAATATTCCCCTGATGTCAAGAGATTCTTCCAAAATCAATCTACTAGTACCCATTATGTAGATTAAGCAATGTTCAGGATTTCACTGGGCCTGCTACAAAACAAATGAGGAAATTCTAGTCCAGTGCAGAGGTTTTCAAATTTGATCCAGAAAATATAAAGTGTCACAGATTGATTTGAATAGCAGGTTGTGTTGAAAACTGGCTTATGGTTAGCTAAATGGCTGTTATGGGGGGTAGTATCAAGGAAAATGTCTATTAGAAAAGATCAGAAGCAGTACATTTTGCAAGGTTTATAACAGTTTACCTCATTGATGCTTGTAACCCTAAAGAGGTTAGAAGGTGATTTAAATTCTTTAAAGAAAATGTACTGGGCGGGGCAGTGCAAAAAGTGGAAAGAGAAGGGAGAATGTTCTTTAAAAGAATAATAGGAAACTACCTCTTCTTTGCCATGATGTTCTGAATATCATTTAGGGGAATTTCACAGGAGTAGTTAGCTGAATTTTGCAGTGATTTGGCAGTGCGGTCTTCTGCCTAAACTTTTTATTTTTAAATGATTCCATCGATAAGGCCAGGTTGGTTCAGGGTGAACAACTGAAATATCTTAACCCCACTTACCTTTTGTCCCCCCACCATCATTTGCTTAATATACTAGCCATTTTCTAAATGTGAAATCTAAATTTCTTACTAGACTGTCATCTCAAACTAGTGTCTACATATTTCAGACAACTATAGATCTAGATTACATACATTTTTTAAAGATGGGACACAACACTTTAAAAATCAATCAAGTAGTTATTGGGCATCTCATCTGAGGTTGGCACTTGTTAGGTGCTATAAGAAATATCTATAGGTGCATGTCATATAAAACAAGAAAGTAAGATCAGTCTATTTACAAATCTCTTCCTATTTGAAAATCTTCTGAATCTGTGAGTGCTAACATATAAAAAAAATTAGTCAAAGAAGTCAAAGATGGTTTCCTACAGAAAGAGTACTTGAAATATGGATAGAATTTTTGAAGAGGTAATGGGAAGAGGGAAATAGCATGAGCTAAGGAATGGACATACCATCTGCATAAGGCCATTGAAAAGGGTACATATTGGAGTATATTGGAAAATAAGATTAGAAACTTAGGAGGGTGGCTCATGCCTTTAATCCCAGTATTTTGGGAGACCAAAGCATGAGGTTGCTTGAGACCAGGAGTTTGAGACCAGTCTGGGAAACAGAGAGAGACCTCATATTTACAAAAAATAAAAAATTAGCTGGGCATGGTGGCACTTGCTGGTTGTTCCAGCTACTTGGAAGGCAGGAAGATTTTGACTGGGGTGAGGCATGCAAAGATGTGAGGAAAGAGAGAAGGTCAGTAGACAAGTTAGAGGGATCAAATGTTGTGGAGCCTTGATGCCTGGGTTAAAGAGTTCAAGGCTGCAGTAAGCAATGATCCTGACATTGCACTCCAGCCTGAGTGACAGAACAAGACCCTGTCTCTAAAAGAAAGAAAAAAAAAAGGAAAGAAAGAAAAGAAAAGAAATTTGGTATGAAGAACAGATCAAAAAGGACTGAAAAAAAAACAGGCAGCAAGATTTAAACTTGATAAATTAGAAAATGAAGCTATTGAAAGTTTCTGAGAAATGGAATAACAGTGAAAACAGTATCGAGAGGACAAGAAGTAATGTGTTAAAGAAAGTAATATTTATTGTAATTTAATACTGTAATTTCAGTTATTATTGTAATTTAAGTAACATTGAGAGTTTATGTCATTCTGTCTAGAAATTGGGTACACAGAGAGAATA